CCCCCCTTAGTAGTCTCTTTTCCAAGCTGAAAAGTCCCAGTCTTATTAATTTCTCCTCACATGGAAGCAGTTCCATACCCCTAATCATTTTTGTTGCCCTTTTCTGAACCTTTTCCAATTCCAATACATCTTTTTTGAGATGGGGCGACCACATCTGCACACAGTATTCAAGATGTGGGCATACCATGGATTTATATAGAGGCAATATGATATTTTCTGTCTTATTATCTATCCCTTTCTTAACGATTCCCAACATTCTGTTCGCATTTTTGGCTGCCGCTGCACATTGAGTGGATGTTTTCTGAGAACTATCCACAATGACTCCAAGATCTTCCTCTTGAGTGATAACAGTTAATTTAGATGCCATCATTTTAGATGTAGCAACAGCTGGGGAAGATGGAACCATTTGACAAAATGTTGTCATTGGACATGGAGTTGTCCCAAGGTACGGTGGGGGAAGAGAAGAGGCACTGAGGTTTGGTACATGGTACCTGCTTTCTGAGCTGAAGCGTCTGGGCATCGTAGAAGATGATATTATGCTCAGCAGTCACAGTTGCGATCTCATTTTTCTCAGGCACCAGCATGCAGTGTGTCAGACCGTGTGTGCTGCCCTCTTCCTCCTCCTTGGCGTCCACACATTGGTAGGGCACGGGCTGGGTGTACACACAGGCAGCTGTGGCGGCTTCCCAGATGTGCAGGATCCCTAGTGCATGGGATGTATACTGCCTGTTAGTGGCATTACGTTACCTGCACAGTACGCTCAGAAAGGTCCTCCGAGGTGTGTCCGTTCAAACTCCAGCCTTGTCTATAGGAGACAGCTGTGCTGGTGTAACTAATGGTGTGATTTTTAAACTGATTTAGTTCCGTGGATGTGAAAGGCTGCCTGGACACTCTGACTTTGGTCTAAGCCAGACTTATTTCAGGTTAGCTAAAATTGATTAGGAACAGGTTTAAGCTAAACCAAAATAAGCCACTCAAACTGAAGTGTCCACAGAGGGGTTTGCACTGGTTTAAAACTCAATTTCATTTAAACCAGTGCAATTTTCTCATGTAAACATGATGCCTAAGACAGAAGGTGTTTTCTAAATTAAATCTAGACTATGAAATCTGAGCAGGCGTTCATCCCCCACTCATCACCGTGGTATCTGGGACTGTAAAAGCTTAGCAGAGATGGGGAGGGGGAGAAAGTGCTACTTTAAATATCCCAAGAGTGCCAGAACAGGCTCACTGAACTGGACCTGGCTTTCAACAGATACAAGACAATGGAAAAGGTGCTGAGCCCTGACAATGGCTGGCCACAGAGTGTAATTTACTCCTTCTTACACCCGAGCCAGGCAGCGACAAGACAGGAGATTCCATGGGGCTCACTCACCTTTGCTGCCAGCTGTGAGAAAGTGAAGCCCTCGCTTCTTCACACCCAAGTGTGAGAAATCTCCACCCTCGGGTAACAATACTGCAGCTTCCACGCTCTGCGAGAGACATCGACAAACCATGAGGCGCAGTAAAAGGTAAGTAGAATTTAACAGCCTGAGTAACCACTTGGAATCAAAAGCAGGTCCCTTTTTTCCTGACTTCTAGTCAAATATCACCAGGGAAGTAATCTCACCTCATATATAGGGACGGTCCTCTTGGCTTCTCTTGTTTTCAGGTCCCATACCATACAGATTTTATCACGACCAGAGCTGCAACAAAGGTTATAAAGAAAAATTCACTACCAGCACCTTCCAGCCAAGAATCTCAAAGCAAAGTCAGACGTGGAGCTGTGGCTGGTCAACCTCTCTCTAGGTCAGGCACGGGATGAACAAAGCCACACACATCCCTGTGAGGCAGATCAGTATTATCTCCAATTTACACGTGGGACACTGAGGCACAGAGCATGATTAGGTGAAACCCAGACCCTCAACCTCTCTCTTTCTCGGAGCCCCAACGTGCTGTATTGTCACCCCTTCCTTCCCTCAAACAGCAAACCCCATGGGCAGTACGAGAATGCCATATGTTTCTTGGGGAGGGGGAATCTGAATGGAGATCTGATAAGCCCATAACAAGTTTACCTGATGAGCGTGTCTTTATCTGCAGCAAAAGCCAGAGAGGTGACAGCACTGTAGTGGCCGTCGAGAGAGGCGATACACTTGCTGGATTTCAGGTCCCAGATCCGGATTATATAGTCCATTGAGGAGGAGAAGAGCTGCAAGCGGGAGATATCGGGATGGAACTCAACGATGCTAGCAAGGGAGGGTAGAGAGAGATTAGCATAATGCAGGCACAAACCAATCAGCATCGTCTCTGATACGGCAATAACGTAAATGTCTAGCATCTATGACAGATCATTCACATTAGCTGAACTGGGCTTAAATTACTGACCTCCTTTGTCGAATCTCATTTATCCACAGTCCGCCCACTGGGAAAATTTACCATAGGTCTTTGCCCTAGGAAATGATCTAAAGAGTCCATAAACTGTCAATTGTGGGTGTCTGAACTGGAGCTCCCAGATTTCCTTAACCACATCATCTCCCTCCCTATCTTTTCCTCCCAAAGCAACAGCTAGTTATAGCCCTGGTCCCTCCGTTAAGCAGATCAAAAATCGGAAACCGAGAACAGTTTTGGACCTGCTTAGTACAGTCATTTGCATTTCTCTTACCCAGAATGCTCTTCTTACTCAGTCATCTCAGGATAATACTAATGACCAGACTGGGATTGAGCCAAAAGGACTGGCAAAGATTGCAATTGTACAGCAAGATCTGCTAACAGAATTGGGGTCACAAACCCAGATCCCCAAGCTGCTGCTCCTTATTTCAGACAGAACACCTGGGTGGAATTTCAGTGTTTTGGTAAAACTGTCTCTGCTAGTTTCCCTAACGGAAAATGGAAGATAAGAAGATTTTCTCCTTACTGTACAACCCCCGTAGATCCTTTCAGGTTATGCGTGCAGTACTGTTTGATTACATCCCAGATCTTAATGGTGCTGTCACAGCCACCTACAAGAAGAAAGGACATGAAGAAATTAACAACACAGCAGGGCTGGGACACTAGCAGTTGTATCAGTTTCACAGGTTACAAAAGCAGAAGAGGGAAAATGAGAGAGAGAACAGTTAGTCACGACACCCAGGGAGGTTTCACGGATTATAGCACTTTGCATTTTCAGAGGGCTTTGTAAGTATTAACTCACTGGTCCTCACAAAAGACAGGTACAGTTACTGTCCTTACTCAGAGATGAGGACCCTGAGACACAGAAGAGTTAAAGGACTTGCCCAACCCCACCTGCACCCACTCCCTGACAGAGAGTGAGTTTCAGAGCTGGGTTTTCCGATTTCCAGATATGTGCTCAGACCACTAGACAAGCTTCTCTCTAGGTGCATGTGATAATTTGTAGAATTTTCAATTAATAATATATTTTTACATAAAAACAATCTTCTTATTGCAGTAACAGGAAAGTCTTGAGAGGCTCTCAAGTTCTCTTTTGATTTTATTCGAACAGCAGGGGTCACTGTCTAACAGCACAGAACTTAAGGTCATTTCATCACAAAAACAGACTCCCCCATCATGCGACACTGAAGTCAGACTGTACCTGTGGCCAACAAAGTGGAAGTGGGGTCAAAGATCATGGTGGCCACTGGTGCTGTGTGCATTGCTTTCCACGTACGTCTACACTTGTTCTGTCGCCATTCCCACTGCTTTAACAGCAATGCCCGGCTTCCTGTCACAAGAATCTAACAGAAAAAGCAGGAAAAAGAGGAAAATACAGAGATTAAGTTAGCCAGTATATTTACATTCTGCATTATGTTCACAGCGAAATTTAGAAAACCCAGAGACAGACAAAAGCCAGGAAATTCCAGTTACCAAAAGAAGCTAATTCTGAAACTAATTCATTTCCCAGCATTTTTTTTTATAGCAAAAGCCTGGAAGCCATATAAATAACATAAAAATGTAAGTACATCACAAATGAACTGGACAGAAACGCAATGCTGTAATGCAACAAACAGATAAAATTCTGCCTCCCCGCTCCAATATATCAAGTAAGTTTAGAAGCAACTGCTAGTCTTTCAGAAGAAGGCATTACAGATAATAACAAACAGCTAATAAAGACCTGTTGTAATAATTGGGCCTACAAATTTACTGTAATTGTGAGATGTGAATAAGTTCATAAAATGTCACAATAACCTAGAACAATAAATGGTGACGGGGAAAAGATGCAAAAGGGACACAGAACCAATTAGTACAAACAAAAAGGCCTATTATAATATAACTCAATGACTGTGTTAAAATTATGCCTGGTAAACAAGAGAAGGATGGGACCAGAAATTGACAGATCAAAATTGGTGTGTCGGAAATTATTCCTAATTGGTAAATAAATTAATGAGGGAATGGGCTATTCCACCAATCGTTCCCTTTGGGGTCCCTAAAAGACAAGACTTTGGGGGAAAATAAAGTTCAAGCTAACAACAATTACTGGCTGGGAGAGAGGCAAAACAGAAGAAGCTAGCTACACCAGCATGGCTGCCACTCCCACCATCTTCTGGGACCCTGGGATCCACCATGACACCATTGGGCCTTTGTCATCCTGATCCTGAGAGATGTCCTGACCTGACCAGACCAGGCCAGAGAGAAGGACCCAGATGACATCATCTCTGCTGGCTCTGGCTAAATCCTGTTGGAATCCCAGAGATCTGGTTCCTGCTGTCACTGTCCTCCCCCTGGTATGTTCTTTTTCTTCCTGACCTTCCTTCTCCTTTTTCTTACTTCTTTCCTTTTGTCTTCTGTCTAATAAGCATCCGGATTAGCCCACCAAGACTGTACATTCTGCAACATTGCCGTAAGTTAAAAGCAATGCTTTAAACAGCTCGATGCTGGTACAAGTTTGCCAGGTCTTGGAGTGGCTGATGAGACCATGTGCCATGCCTATGTTTCTCCAGCAGTGAGGTTGCAAGTGAAAGTCAACACCAGAGACAGAGACTGAATTTTCTCTCTCTACTATTCTTTTCTCTTCCCTCTTGTGTTTGCCTTGTTTTGTCTTCTAGGAAACAGTACTAGATTTTAACAGCAACTACAACAGCTCCAGTCAATTTCAACTACCTTCTCTTTTCCCCAAAAAGGACAATTATTACCACCTTTAAAATGTGAAAGTTGTTGGAATTAAAGTCTTAACATTTTACATTTCACATGTTCTCGTGGTTTTTCTTTCTT